AATGTGGGTGAACAGTTCTTCGTTTCCATATATGCCTTACTCATGACACCAAACAGAACCCCATTTAAGTTTGGAGGGAGAGATATCTCAAGCGCGTCCAAGCTTATCAAACGTGATTTCCAGGGGCACCATGATAGAATTATATCAGGAAGCAGTCTTCGTATGTGTTGTAATCGACATTGTTTACCATCAGCTGAGGGAAATTGAAAGCCAGAATCAGTTGGTGACATACAAAGTCCCGAAGACAAATGCAAATCTCCAGGACCCCTCGGTTAATCAAGTCCGAATCATTGAAAATCCAAAACGATAGCAGCAGCTAAAGCCATTGCTGACCGCGTTGATATGGAATCTGAGTTGTTTACACGGTCGGAATCAATCCAACCGATCACTGATGCATGCAAAAATGAGGTTAAGTATTTCATTTGAGTGTTAAACTTCATATATAGGAAACACATGGTATACAACCCTTACCAAATGGAGCTCAAACCGATTAAAAGAGACTCTATTTAATTTCATCACAGTGATTACAAAGGTTTTGGAATAAAACGGAATTAAATTAAGATAACAACTGCAGATATAGATGATAAACTATGTAGATAATGATTGAATATGTGCAATACTCTAACTTTCGTCACACATGTTTCCCCCGACAATCAATGTTTTCAATCTCATTCACAAGAATAATTTTGTCCCACATCAAACACAGCAATTGTGTCGGCATTAACACTAGTTTTTTGATTAAACAAGCACAATTTCTCGATTTTGATGATGGTTTTTGGTATATCAACTGTAGGGTAACTAAACCACAGTAAAAATCATCATCGGCATTCAGTTATAAAAATGGCTCAAAGGTAGGTTGCTGTTTTTCAAAATCGATTTTTGTCAATATTCTGTTAACCCACTTCTCTTAAGAACACTAAAGCCAGTCATGTTTCTAAGGAGTCCACCACGAATATTTTAAATAAAATATTGTCAGTTTCACATCGAAGCACTTGCACAAGTCGTCTAATCTATGCAGCTTTGGCATCGGAGTACCATTCGATTTCCATCATATATACCAAATCGTCTTTGATGCTTCATCCGGTTTGAACATCATGATATTACAATGGGCGCATTAAATAAGCTGCGCACCGAAAGGTTAACTTTTCAAGGTCAATTTACATCCCCTTTGGATGAAAGGTTCGATCCGTTTAGGTTGAGGAATTCCTTGAATGTTTTAAAACAAAACAATTTTCGTTATTCCACTTATTTACGTTGCACAGCTTATAAGAAAAAAATCTTTTCATAATTTATCGATCAGAATAAACGGTCTGAATAAATAAAAATGGTTCATCAGGGAGAATCATTTTTAGTTGCAAGCTGTAACTTCCGAATCAGTACAAACTTTATCTTGACGGCCAATGTCGGGGCAATTCAAATAGTGATACAGATTAACCAAGCACATTGTAGTGCAAGGTAAAGTTCGCAATAAACGCTATTCACACATAGCTATCGGTGTACAGGTATGATGTTATAAACTAAAGTATATTCATCTTATGCATTCGATAAGGTATGTGTACACAAACTGAAAAGGGATTTTAAAATATCACTCGGTTTTGTAATGAACATGTGGATAATATATGATACATGAACTGTAAGATTGTCCGGCTTTACGGTCAAAAGCTAACAATACTGTTCTAACTTAGCAAAAGTTGGTCGTTTTATTGTATCTCTTATGCAAAACAACCGTCTGTTTACCATTGTTGTTCTTGTGTGTCACGGTAAAAAACTGAGATTTCATCTATATCTCACAGGCGCACATATTTTTAGCAGTATGTATTAATAAGTGCTATATTGTGGTGTATCAATAGTGACACGATATCCCTAAACCTGTTCAGATTATGAGCGAACCGGTGGCATTAGACAGTAGACCATCATCACTGTATCAATAATCAACTTCTTGTCCCGTTGAAAGATGATCTGTAACCGGAACTAGTGCAACACAGTCCATTGTTCGTTTGGTGTGCCACTGTTCAACTTCGCACGATCGGACAATAGCAATTCGTGATGAGCTAGGCGAATGTGAACAACACCTGCTGCTACATATGATTGTGACTGATTGCAGTGGTTTCCGGGTATTGGGCTTCTCACGATACGGAACACAATGAATTCGGAATTGATTCGGATGAGAAATGATGAACACGTTCATCGTAATGGGCATTTCTCCAGATTCCAGGGAATAACTCCAAATAGTATTGGATGCATAAGAAACTGATAGACAAGCTCAATGTACACATCAATATGCACAACAACATCCCGTATGAAGTAATCAGTTTAAATATCATGGTTTCAAATTAATTTATTTTTGGGGCTCACAGGTTGTGATTTCCTGCCCAAATACTAACCGTAGTAGTATTTGAACGGCACCAACTTCAAATGCGAAAGAAATTCGTGAAGTGAATTCTCCGAATAAGTGCATAAAGATCATTGTACAGATTGAGTTTACTAAGCGCCTTAGGTTCATGCTATTTAAACCGATACTTAATTACAAAATGTCCTTGAAATGATGCGCATGATAACCATGACCACTGTTATTTTCCTTCTGCCTTCTTCTGGAGCTCTCACAGAAATTCGATGTGTGAATAGTTCGGATATCACGAAACAAGTGCTGGCTGGATGCGCTTATTTCAAAATTTCTCTAAGAGTATGTGGTGTAGCT